GCAGTCACTGCAGGGTCAGCAATGACTGAGCGCAGACAAAAAAAAAAAAAATTATGGGCTGCATTGTACAGACATTTAGCTCTATAAAAGATGCCACAATAGATATTTCCACCACTATGGAATCATTGTGAAATAAGCACCTGGATGTACCATATGATGAGATCTTTTAACATTTTTGTTTCATTTTCCCCAGGATGAGTGATGGAGAACATGCTGTGAATATTTATAAGCAACTCAATGAGATTCCTCCTAAAACACAAATGGTATTTTAATGCTTTTCAGTGGAACCTTTCTAAATCAATGTGTGACACTCCCCTCAGCATTGTTTCCCTTCACGGGGGTGCAGAAGTGTCAGGGTGCAGGCAGAGAGGTGGAGGAGGCATTTGGGCAACAGAAGAGATGATCTGGGTCTCCCACATGGAGATCTGTGTACCTCTCCTCCGGTATTCAAAATTAAGTTTGCACGTGCAGATGCTCCTTGTGCGTCAAAAGACTAAAGCTACATAATAATGTAGGAATTTCTCATTCTTATTTTTACTGTTTGCAATGCCTTCTACTGGTGATTCTGGAGTTTTATCCCAAATCAGCAATTCTCAATTCTTAACATTTCAGGACAAGCCCTGGGAGTTTCATCCACGTATACATGTTCCCTAATATCTAAAGCTGGGTATTTCATTGGGTAGAATGGGCATAATGCCCACTCCCTACAAGGTTTCTAAGACCCTACAAAAAAGCTTAGCTCCCCCCTATCTCTGATAACTTAGATATAATCTGATAATATAAAATGACTTATTTTTTCAAGTTCACGATTTTTTAAGTGCCTATAGCCTACAAAGGTTTTGCAGATGGTATACAACTTCATCAATAATATCCAAGGTAGACAAATCATACAGTAATAAATGTTGGAAATGCCATTAAACAGAAGCAACATTTTACTACATGTGGTGGACTTGTAAAAATCAAAAGTACTAGAAAGACATACATGATACAATGGAGAAAATTTTGGAATTTAAATTTGAAATGCAACCACAATTTTTCTTAGGTAAAATACCAGAAAAAAATCAACAAGAAACATCACAATTTATTGAGATACATGTTCACAGTAGCAGGAACAATTTTTGCCCAATATTGGAAGAAAGATTCAGTTCTGACAACATCTGGTTGGGAACTTAAATTTGGAGAATATGCAGCAATGGCAAAATTAACAGCACACATTCACAACAGAAGTTTAACCAAATTTAAGTAAGAATGGTTCCATATATACATCACACAGCATGGCACTTATAGTCCAACTTGTAAGGGAGCCCAAATGTTTATAAATATTGCAAATTAGTAGCGCAAAAAGGGGGGAAATTAGAAACCGAATACCTTGCTTTTTCTTTTCCCCCTTTTTCTCTTCCTTTTTTCTCTTTGTATTTTAATTGTCAAATTTGCTTTTTTCATCTTTTTTTGTCCCAACATGCACAAATAATATTTAGTAACAATACAGTGGAGACCTTAATACTAAGTAAAACCTAAGTAAACCTTTATTGTACAGCAAATACTTTGATGCAATCTGCAGCGGTTTTCATTCAGTTCTGGATGAAAAAGCTAAATAATCTGAGGCTCATTAACACTGACATTTTAAATCATAATTAATTCTGACATAATATTTCTCACTCTTTTATCTTCAATGTTATCTAAACATTAGAGAGTTTAGAGTGTTAACAGACTTTAGTCAACATTGTACAAATGCCACTGTATCAAGATAATGTATTGTGTATGTATCATCAGCATTATCATCATCTGCTCCAACTAATTTCAGTCACTTTCAGTTCAGGATGTACTTCAGTGCATTCTGAAGGTCACTTAGTTTGTCCA